TTTACTGATGTTGGAAAGAATGATTTCACAAGCTTTTCCCCTGTCCACTCCTTGCAGTGTCTTTCTCTTGAGTCTTGGTTCATTGCTTGGAATAATAAGCCTGACTGTATTATATCCAACGGAAACTCCCATCAGAAGCAGGGGGCCCAACCCAGGTTGTAACAGAAAAACACAGGCTCTGGTTAACATAGTTTCCGTACAGAGCATAGAAACAGGTTAATGCCAGAGCCGGTGGTGGGAGCTGCTTGAGCATGGCTGGGTGAACCATGTACCAGGACACTCGTGTGCCCAGACGCTTGTCCCATGTCTCCTGACTGTTCCTGTGGCCCCTCAGATAAGGAGGCTGAAGAATAATAGCATTTCCATCTTATAACATGGGGGCACCCAGGCCACCTCCCTGGGTTTGAATCCAAGCTCCACGACTTGCCTGCGGGGACACTTTTGGGCAATATCTGGAGTTTTCTGTGCTTCCAGGGATCTGATCTAAAGGGAAAGCAGCACGCATTCCCTCACAGCTTGAGATAGGGATGGACTTGCTTTGAATTAATAAATCTCAGCTGTGAAAATAGTAAAGCAAGAGAAAAAAAACCCAAATAAACAAGTAGGTGAAGAAGAATTTCAAAGGGCTGCTGGTGCCGTCAGGTTCATGGTAGGGACAGGACGGTAACCTGAACCCAAGACCCTTTGACCACGGCCATGGGAATCCACGCTGCCCACACCTCACTGAGGACTGTGATATGTAGAAGAATGAAATGCAGGACAGCCAGAGAGACCTCAGCATTGGGGCTGGCTTTCATATGACTCAAGTCAGGCTGCTGCGGACAGGACAGGTAAGGCTAGGGAAACATGGCCAGTGGGAAGCAGCCTGGGTGGTTCTGGAAATCAAGTCTCGGCATAGCCCTTTCATAGTCAGTGAAGGCTCATCTTTGACCCCTGGATGTGTCTGCCCTGGCCTCTTGGAACTCCTTTGATGCTCATCAGTGCCGTGTTGCGGTTAAATCATCCTTAGTCTCCAAATCTGCACAGTTAAAGAATCCATTGTTTATAATATGATGCTATTGTTATTAATTATTATTATTATTTACTTATGACTAGGGGGTTGCTTATTTGGCTCGGTGTGTTCTGGGGACCACAGCCCGAGTGATGCTGCCCCTAATTGGCTGCACACGTGTGGGGATGGGTTGACTCCCATCCTGGGGACAGGCTTCTACAGCAGTCAAGCTGACAGTGACCACCAGTCACTGCCAGGCTCCCTGCTTCTCCCACTGCTTATTTCCAAAGGTTACGCCCCAGTGGGTTTTAGCACAGCTCCGATGTGTAATTCTAATTCCCTTGGAAATAGGGCTAATTAGAGCATTTGTCATTGCTGGCTGTGAGGATTATCAGCCCCGATGAAGATTCATGGCCTGAGCCATTTTAGCCTCCTAAGGCAGGATCTAGGCTCTGGAGCTGAGCTGGGATATTTGCACAGAGAGGGTATGGAGTGGGGGAGGGGGCTGAGTGTTCTCGGTTAAAAATACCTCAGATATTTCTTTTTTTCCTTTTTTTTTCTAAATCTGAAGGAGAGAGGAAAAAAAAAAAACAGTGCATATTCTGCTGTAACTTCAGGTTGCCTGGGATGAAAAAAAAAAGTAAAAAGCAATAAAGCATTTGTTTGAAGGGGGAAGTGCTTTCCTTTTCGCACTGTGGGTCAGGCCTGCCACCCTGATGCTTCTTTGGGATGGAGAATGCTTTGATTTCTTGGGGTCAGCTAGAGGCTGGCAGTTCCTGCTGGGAACACACATCTGCTTCCCCAGACTGAGAGACACACAGGCTACCTGGAGAGGGACACTGGCTCCGTCTGATTGAAATCACCCTTGGAGAAGTTTGTTGTTGAGATTGGAGCTCAGTGAAGCAGCCATGGACGTTTGCCACAGAGACACTTTAGCCCATCATGTGACAGACTCTGTGCCAGGTACCAGGTGCACCGGTGGCAACCTAAACCCACTGCCGCCATTGGTACCCTGAAAATAAAGGCACGCATCATTGCAGCAGTCAGCAAGTAAATGTGGTGTCACCCACATGATCAACACTCCAGAGGCTCGGAAGATGTCAGTCAATACAGTTCTTGAAAAACCTCAGGTATGGCAGTACATGCTTTAATCCCACAATTGGGGAGGGACAGACAGGAAGATGCCTAGGGCTTTCTGGCTAGCGAACCCCACTTAATCAGGAAGCCCCAGGCCCCAGTGAGACCTGGCCTTAGAAACCAAGATGAATGGCTTGTGAGGAAGAACATTGCATGTGGACCTTGGGCTTCCACTTGCATGCACACATGTCCTTACACACACACACACACACACACACACACACACACACACACACCCTGAAATACACACCACACACACAGACGAACACAAAGAAAGGAAAACAAAGACAGCATCCTGTCCCGTGTAGACGGTGTATGTGTATGAAGCTGTAGCCCCCTTTGCACCATGGAACAGAAAAATGGAGCGTCTGGTGCGTCCCCGAGGTCTCAGGTGCTATGGTGCAAAACAGGAGAACTCTAGAGATCTCGTATGTACAATGGGCTAACCAGAGCTTGCTGTGATTGGCTGTGCCCACCATGAGTGGTCAGAACCGGTGTGTGTGGGGGGTGGACTGAAGACCCCAGACCTGAGAGTGAGAAACACAGTCCTCAGGTCTTACAGGCAGTGTGGGACCCCCTGTTCTTTGTTGTCCTACACAACAGTCATCTTCACTGTAGGACTTACAAGGATTGGGCCAGTTGGTTCTGTATGAATCCGCTTTTCCACCCTGTCCTCTGTATTGCAGAGATAAGAGATGGGGCGAAGGATGAGGAGCCTCAGGTCTGTGGGTGGTGAATGGCATAGGTGAGTCCAAATCTGGATTGGAAGCATTTTCTCCTGCAGGTTATCTTTTGAGGTGACATTGTGCAAAAGGTTGAGTGTTGGCGACAGCTATGTCCATAGTCTCCTGATGTATCACATAGTGAGTGGTAGCAGCCTTCAACAATCTAGGCCGATTATCTTACATGTCTGGAAGTCAAATTTCCAAAGTGGGTCTCTATAGTTGGAAATCACCAATATGGAGTCAGGTAGAAATATAAGGGTATTTAATAGGGAAAAGCCTTACTTACAGAGCGACCTAGCCAGCCAGCGTGGCAGCAGTCTATACTGCAAGTACCAAAGTGAAACTGAAAGAGAAAACGCAGTCACTCTATGTCACCCTGACCACGCCCTCGCAAGCGTGGTCAGGCACACCTGTAGTCAGCCCCTAAGTAGGCGTGGCTACAGCTTCCCCTACAGGTCTCACTGGAAAAAACCAAGTTTCGGTAAAGCCGTATTCCATCTCAACATCCTGGAGAAGAACCCATTTAATTTGGCCTTTTCTGGCTTCTGGAAACTGCTCACAGTGATTGACCCATTGGCTCTTTCCTCTGTTTTAGCATCGCACTGTCTTTGATTTCAGCTTCCCTTTCTGCCTCCCGCTTTGATGTAAACAAAGCTAGCTATTTCATCTGGGCCACCTGGGTATTCCAGGATTGTCTATTTTAAGGTCACATGATAAATATCTTTTATCTTACTGGCAACTTTAGTTCTTTCATCACTGTTCATGTTCTGTTGCTGTAACAACATGCCCGAGGCTAGGCCACCTGTAAAGGAAAGCCATTGGTTTGAGCTCACCCTTTGGAAAGTCAAAGCCCATCGACAATAACACCTGTTCATTTCTGGTGGGAACCTTCCATGCTTTCTACATGTTTTGAGTGGAAGAAACACACACGTTTGAAAGAACACACGTGACGAGAGAGAGGAAGGAGGAGAGGTTGAGGGTTGACGGCACCCGGGACCCACTAAGCTACCTTAATCCAGCCACGGAGGCAGATCATGCTTCTTGCTTTTGAACTAATCTGAGCCTTGTGGTTCCTGGTTCCTGAGCCTTGTGGTTCCTTCGCTATTCTGGGCTGCACTTCTCCATCTTTAAAGTGGACATGGTAACTATGCAGTGGGCTTTAGAATGCATATGAAGATGGATCGAATCTCCAGGGCCTTCTTTGTTCTGGCCACTCTTCGCCACTTGTTCCAGGAGTGATGTCACTGGGGATGGCTAAGTTTTGACTCTGTAAGAAAGGGCTAGGAACATGGAGAGGCTAAAGCTGGGTGGGAAAATAGTGGCAGAATAGATGTGGAGGTTCTAGGGAGTGGGGTGGTGGGGCAGGCATTTGGGAAGGCCAGGATTTCTGGAGTTTTAAATAGAATAAGGTACAAAGAGAGATAGCTGTATTTTAACTTCCATAACAGCGTGGCTGATGGCTGACCTAGATAGAATGCGTGGTGGCAAAGCTAGGCGTCATTAAATAGAATCTTACATCTGTCCAGGTTGGATCTCAGTATGTCTCGTGAAAATTCATTATGTGATATGGAGCCTCTTCTTCAAAATACCGTAAGCGTGGTCTGGATTTTTTTCTTAAGCCCTCCAACTGATATGGAGCAAGACAGTCAGACACCTTCACCTGAACCAGATCCGTCTCCCTCATCCCCAATGACACCATGGGTCCTCACCAGTGTGTGTGGAGCAAGGTAATTTCTTCCTAAGGGCACTTCTATTGGTAATTTCAAACTGCAAGAGGGTAGGTGACTCTGGCAAGAAACTCTTCCTGAGATAAACAACTGTGGAATGGGATTATTTCAGAGACCCTGAATCCCATCACTGTTCTCTCTTATGTTTGGAAGTAGACAAGGAGCTCCAAGGATGGAGACAGTTTGGTCTACCTGGCTGGAAGAGACGTCCCTGCATCCAAGCAAAGTGAACCCGTGATGAGGAAAGGAAAATGGGGAAAAAAATGATCACATGTATGCAGTATAAAGTTTGTACAATAAAAAAATAATGTCTTTATAAATTTACATTTGCCTTTAAATACCCTGTCTGCCCAAGTGAGAAACTGCTGTCCTCCTTTTGTGTGTGGTAAAGGGAGGTGGAGAACCCAGCCAAAGATGCACACCAGGACCAAAACTAGCAATGATGGTGCAGTCTGGGGCTTCTCCTGAACCCTAAGGCCACCTCTCCTGTGGGGGAGGCAGTTCCTGCAAAACCCGGATTGTCAGATTGGGGAAGAGCTGGAGACTCACCTGGGCCGACAGGAGCAGGTGGTGGTCTTAACTTCGGTGAGAGTCCCAGCTGAAGGTTCTGAGGGTGGAGCCCCAGGAGAATTGAAAGTTGTCCTGCGCC